TAACGACGGCGGCGACGCAAACTCGTTGGGGGCGGCGACGACAGCGACGACGGCGACGCTGAATGTCGCAGCTTGGATGTTGTGTATATAGCGCCGCGGCCTCCCGAGCGGACGGCCGTCGGTCGCGTCGCGGCACAGATTTCGCGGCCCCGTCGCGGCTAGGGGCGCCACGTTGGAGCACAGCGCTATGCGCTTGAAACACATACTGCCTGACGCAGCGCTATGCGCTCCAAATGTGCAGCGGCATGCGCTTCAAATGCATGGTCTGGAATCTGGAGCGCGGGCGCAGCGCTATGCGCTCAAAATGCACAGTCGGACGTAGCGCTGTGCGCTTCATATGTACATCGCGGTGCGCTTCGAACGCATGCTCTGGAACCTGGGGACCGGGCGCAGCGCTATGTGCTTAACAGGTTCAGTCTGCTATCTGGGGCAGCGCGACAGCGCAGTGCGCTTGAATGATATTTTCCACAACGGCAATGCGCTAACGGCTCGATTCGCGGGCATGAGCAATACTAATACATCAGGTGGCTGCTCTACGCCCAGCCCTTCAAGCCGCGCGCTTTGGCGCCATGCCCCTTTCTCCCCAGTTTCTCCACTGCGCGTTCCACTCGGTCTCTCCATCCGACTGCACATGGGGCCTTCGGCGCGGCCAGCGCCGCTCGATGCCGCCGCCGCCACATTGGTGTCCATCTGGAGCTTTACCAGAACGGGCTCCAGCTTTTCCAAGGCGGACTCCAGCTCTTCCAGCTGTTTTCCTTCTTCGTCTTCAAGACCTGGTCCATCTTCAGCTCCAGCTCGTCCAGTTTTGCCGTCTTCTGCAAGACCTGGCCCAGCATCTCATTCAGCTCGTGCATTTTTCCGTCTGCGCGCAGACCTGGCCCATCCCATCCATCAAGACGCATGCCCTGGAGTCATTCAAAGCCTGGCCCACCTTCTGCAGGACGAGCCCCGCCCCCTCCTCGCCATTGCGGAAACTGGCGATTAAGCTCTTCATCGCTTCACCATTCTGCCCAAACATCGCGCTCACAGCAAGCATGAGGCCCATTGGGTCCACGCTCGGCTCCGCCGCCGCCGCCGCGTTCAAGCCCCAGGATGCCCCCGATGGGGCGCCTAGCTTGGGCTCCGCCGCCGAGGCAGAGCTAGGCCATGAAGCTCCTGATGGCGCCCCTGCGGAAGCGATGGCCGCTCCGAGCCCGACTCCTTTTTGCCGCCGCTGCGGAGGCGTTGGCCGTTGGGGCTGCTGCTGCCGCCGCTCCCGCTGCCGCCGCTCCCGCCTCCGCCGCTCCTGCTGCCGCCGCCGCCGCCGCCGCGCTTGCTGGCGCCTCCTCCCTCGGCTCTGCACCGCCCCGCCCTGCGCCACCGAGACCGCCATCTTCTGGAGAGGTCGGCTCCCCATGCTTATCGGGCCGCACCACTTTCTCGATGTCGACCTTGTTCACGTTTCAGCCCTCTTGATGTTTTCTAGATGCTTAAAGTCTCCTTTTCCAGTTCTGCCTTTGTGCTGGGCAGAATCCAAGTGCTCCTTGGTGACCGCCTTCAATCTGCCGTTCTTCTTCGAGCACAGCGCGCGCGTCCAATGTGCCGAAACAGAACCAGAGGTGGCCGCGCACTTGCGCCGCGGCGCGCTTCGACCCGCCATCTGTGAGCACCAATAGCTCAGGGCAGTCCGCCTCCGATGCCTCATAGTACTCCTCGCCCCATGTCTGATTTCCACTCGGCTCAAGAGCGGCAGCGGCCACCGCCGTTGGCTGGTTCTGCTTCGCTGGACGAATCTTCGCGGCCCCAGATGCTCGAGCCTAGGTTGCCGAAGGGAGCGCGGGGAGGCCCACGCATGAATCAGCTCAGCCTGGACCCTTTTCAGGGCGGCGGTTCGGGGAGGGGGGGAGATCATCATCACCGTCATCACCATCGTCATCATCACCATCATCACCATCACCGCCACGCATTCATTCACTCACTACACAGCCATGCGTGCATTGCGAGGCAGTCTCAGGCGGGGGCGGGCCCCCCCATGGGACACGCGTGCCATGTTATTAATATCGCGAATTATCTTTCCAAGCGCAGTGCGCTGCCCCTACTCGTGGGCAACGTTGCATTTATTCCGTAGCCGTCGCGTTTGGCTCAGCCCGTCGACCGCGATTGGCTCGGCGCGCGGCCACGGCAGCGACCTTCGGTGCAGCGATGGAGGTTCTCACGGCCCATGTTGGCCAAGCTGAACAAAGCTTTGCAGAGCTGATGTCATCGCTCAACGACATGCCCGCCTCTAGCGCCGGCCCCGAGGCAGGGCAACGCCGCCCGCCCCATCCGAGGCTGGTGGGCGCCCCCATGACGCTGGGACCAGTGCCCGAGAGCACGCAAAGCCTGCGGAACAGGAAGGCAGAGAATTCGATGACGAACGATGCACTGCACAAAGTCGAAACCACGATGTCAACGAGGGGGGAATTCATGATTCGAGTCGGTCAGCTGAAGGAGAAGGAGGTGGAGCAGCAGGACTTTGTGCCTGCACCCCCACAGCAGAAGCTGGTCGAGTCACTGGCCAGTCACGCACCAGATGCAAAGGCTGCGAAGGCATGGCACGAGCCGTTGAAGCAGGACCTGGTCTCTGAGCAGAAGTGGGTCCACGAGGGCCAGGCGCGCCACCGTGAACAGCGGGCGCAGGACGACGAGGCGCAGGACGGGAAGTGGGACGAGCGGCTGGGCGAGGCGCAGGACGAGCGGGGCGAGCAGTGGGGCGAGGCGCTGAACGAGAAGTGGGACGAGCAGCGGGGCGAGGCGCAGGGCGAGAGGTGGCGCGAGCAGTGGGGCGAGGCGCAGGGCGAGAAGTGGAAGCAGCAGCATCATCAGTGGTGCGAGGCGGTGGACCAGCGTCAGCAGGCTGGGAATCGGAAGTGGCCCGCGGACGAGAAGGAGCAGCAGGCGCAGAAGCAGAAGTGGCCCGCGGACGAGTGGATGCGCAATCAGCAGTGGCTCCGCTCGGGGTGGGACCAGGAGCAGCAGGCGCAGGAGGTGAAGGGGCCCGCGGACCACGCGGAGAGCGAGTGGAAGGAGCATGCCGGTGAGCACTTGCAGGGGTCCGTGGAAAAGGCCTGGTACTATGCCTGCGACACAGGAGCAAGCACATGGCAAGCCAGGCAGCCAACTGCGAACGCATCCGGGTGGCAGTGCTGGCGCCAGGAGCAGGCTCAGGCGCTTGAGGCTGCAGCCAAATGGCGTCAATACCAGGCCTGGCAGGCGACTGGGCAGTGGAACGCGGCTACACCTTCAAACGTGGCGTGGGTGAGGCAATGGTTTCCTCCAGGACGGACTTCGTAAGGGCGATGCTGAGGCATGGGCGTATGCGCATGACCTGATGCGTACGTGCTGGGCGATGTCTCCGAAGGAAGGTCATCCGGCTGCACAGCTGCCGATGATGCCGCCACAATACTGCGGAGAAGAAGGCGGCGGAAGGGGGCGGCGGAGGAGGCGATGGTGGAGAACAAGCCCAATATCCACTTCAGAAGAAGCAGAGGCAGCAGCGCGGCGGCAGGTTCAAGGATTGACAAAATTCCAAGCATGCCGCGGACAGACATGGATGGCTGGCTCAGTTCCTGGCAGAGAACCCCGGCCCGCGGAGGCGCATCTAGATGAGGCGCAGCAATAGGCCCGCCAGTCACTTAGCGCGTGCGCTGTATATATACTGCTTAGCGCCTTCGCTATAACACGCTTGCTGCGCTGCACTGAAAGAACACAGAAATGCAACATGGCCTTCCCGGCGCTTTGCGTTGTAATCTTAACCTCATTCCGCCCGAGCGCACTGCGCTGCACATCTATGCCCATGGCACCTGGCGGCGGCGACGAGGAAAGGGGCGCGGAGGAGCGAAGGGGTGGGTGTTATTGAGGAGAGGTCAGGCGCGAGGAAGAGCTGGGGCCTAGAGGACAGCGCAACGCGCTCTGGATCAGAGAATCTGATTTGAAGGGCCCAGGCCAAGCGCTAAACGCTAAACGCCAAGCGCTACGGGGAGGTGGGGTGAATCATGTTCCCTGCTGGCGAAAAGCAGCGCTAACGCTATGCCTGCGCAGCGCAGCGCAGGCCACCAGCGGCCCGATCGCTCCGCCAGCATCGCTAAATTCCCGCATCGCTTGCACTCGTCTGAGACCCATTTCCTCGCCGCCGACATCGCCGCGGCCATCGTCTTGAACTCGCGGCCCTCCGCTTCTCCCCATCGGAAGCCCTTGTGCAACATCCCGCCGCTCTTTCTCGGAATCCGCACTTGCACGTTCTCGCGCGAGTGCCCCGCGTCGAACCGCGCCTCGCTGGTCTCCAGACTCGGCTTAGCAGGCGCATGGTGCTCAAGCAACTTGGCAGGCGTGCGCATGTTCTTCTTCTACGTCAAGGACTTCCCTGGAGTTGCGACCGTCTCGCCTTCATCCTCCGACGCCACTTCAGTTTCCGACGCGCTTCCATTCGCTGCGTCCGCCTTCCTCTCCGCAGTCGCCCCCCCCCCTCCTTCTGCGCCTTCGGCTTCGCCTTCGGCTGCCCGTCCATCTTCGCATCCGCCGTCGCATCCTCTGCCTTAGCCTCCGCCGCCGCCCCCCCCCCCTCCTCCACTGTCGCCTTCGCCGTCTCGAGCTTGGCCCCCAGCTCCCCCCCCCGCGCCCCCCTCGCCCATGAGCTCCAGAAGATGAATCGCAGAAGGCGCAGGCGCTGGCGCAGAAGCCGCAGGAGGCGGCGCCGGCTCTTCAGCGGCCGCAAGCGGCGGCGCAGGCGCAGCCGCAGGCGGCGGCGCAAGCGCAGCTGCATAAGCGCCCCCGCCGCTTTCATCGGCGCTCGCGTCAGCTAGGGCGAAGAACTCATCGCTGCGAGACCGCCTCGCGCTGAATTGCACGCGCTCGTCGTCGATATGAAGGCGGCGTTGGCCGCGCATGGCGCCTTCGAAGGGCGGCCCGCAGCGCCTGCCGTCAAAGGGCGGCAGTCCCCCCATGATCATCATTGCATCCAGTAAGCGGTCTTGTCGATCCGTTTATCGCTGGAGCCCCTGCGAGAAGTTGATCGCCATGTTCTGCAACTGGTGGTCCGGGGCGCCTCCAGGCAAGCGCAGCGCTGGCGCATCAATCGCCGTCGCCCGTTGCCCCCTGAATTTAATGCAGCGGCCATCGCTTCGATCATCGTAGTATCGATTCTACTCGAAACTGGCAGCGCCCCGTCGGCGTAGGGTCGGGCGAAGATCGCGGGGTACCTCCCCTTGCGCTGCGCTGGGGGCGGCGGCGACGCCTCGACGATCTCGACGGGGCCCTGCGCCCTCCGCACCCGTGCAGTCCAGGCGCTCTTGAGTGCGTCAAACGTCTGGATCTTCTTGGCCTGGCTGACTTGCGCTTTCACGTCTGCTGTCTGCAGAATCAGGAATGCCGACAGCATTCGCTTCACATCCCCCGACGGCGCCCTCGCCCCCAAGGCCGCCACGCGGTTGAAGAGGACCTCCCCGACTTCTAGCGGCCGCCCCCGCTGGCTCGACATGTCGCCCCACTCGGCCTCAGTGAAGTAGCCGAAAACCGCTTTGAAATCCGGCGTCGGATGCCGTTTCATCATCTCATTCTTCTTGACGGCGGCGTCCAGCGACTCGACCACTACGGCCAAATCGCTTGCAGCGAAGCCCACTTGCGCTGCGAGCGCCAGCAGGTCTGACGCCTCCGTCGAACTCAGGGCGGCCGTCGCCGAGCTCGCAGACGATCTGAACGCGCTCGCGTGCACCTCAGAAGCGGCAACGCGCGCGCTCGCTGGGACCTGCTGCAGGAGCAGCTTTGTCGCCCCAATGCGGGCCCGCAGATCCTGGTTCAGATCCCCCATGGCGCCGCGGCCCTCGGCCCTGCTCTGCGGGCCGCGGACGCGGCCCAAAACGAGTCGTTAGCCCCGCGCGGGCCGCGCGGCAGCGCGTGCGCGCCCGAGCCACAACGGCGGCAGTGCGCGCGACAGCGCTTTGCGCTAAAGTGGGCAGCGCCACGCGCTTGCGGGAGTGAGGAGGAGGAGGAAGAGGAAGAGGAAGGAGGAGGGAGAGGAGGAGGAGGAGGAGAGGAAGGAGGATAAGAGGACAGCGTTATGGCGCTCATGCGCGGGGGCATGCGCGAGAAACACAACTGGAGAGAAAGCGCTTAGTTGAAGTGGAGTGCAACGCGCTTGAAATCCAGAATGGAGCGCAACGCGTTTTTTCATTGGAGCGCAAAGCGCTTAAAATGAACTGAGTATATGAAAGCGCGAAGCGCATGATTAAATCCAAACTTGAGCGCAATGCGCTTGGTTGGAAGGGGCGCGAAGCGCTATGGGGGGCAGACATAACGCAACAACATAGAAAAACGTGGCTGACCGAAAAAGTAAACTCTGCATTCGCAGCGCGTGTTGTTGTAAATAGTAAGAGTACAGGAATTGGGGTGGTTGAAGATAGGGGAAGGTTCGGGGATATAATGGTTTAAGGTAGGGGGAAGTTAATTGTCCAAAAAACAAGGAAAAACAACATATGAAAAGCTATCTTCCACAATGTAAACCTAACTTCCACAACTTCAACAGAACTACCAGAACTAGTTAAGACCATCTCAGCCAAAAAGTTGGAGCGGCGGGATTTCTGCATTTCTTGGCCTCCGGGGGCCCGCACAGGGCCTCGGGAGCGTCAAGAAACGATTCAGAATGAAAAACGGGCCCCAGGGAAGTGGTCCGGACCTCCCGGGCCCACGCGCCGAAAAATTTGGAGCAGCCAAATGTCTGGGAAGCCGGGGGGGGCTTCGGAAGCGGCCTTCCTTCTCTCCTTTTGTGTCGACTTGCGCTAGATCTCGTCGTTGTCTCGTCATCGTCGTTTGAGGGCCCTCCCCTATCTGTCGCGTGTGGCGAAGAGAACCTTTCCCCTTTGCGTCGCCACGTGACACTCGATGCGGATATTCTTTGGTGTCCCCGCTTATGCGCTGCCACGTGGCGAGTTGAGTAGAATAGTACGTAGAACCCCACGGTAGCGGATAACAGTGATAGTGCGGGCGCGAGATGGGTCGCGGGTGGTTCACGGGTGGACCGCGGGGTGGGGCGCGGGGGGGTCGCCGGGGGGTCATGGGCGAGGACAACAAACAACAGCATCGTACAACATCAACAATAACAACCAACAACATTTGGGCCACACACTCACATGTCAGCTACGCACCCAAGGACAATGAATGACCGCTCGGCCCATTCATTTTGATGTGCTCCTTCCCCCTGTTGTGCCCTGCGGTGGGTAGAATAGAATAGCCACCTTGGCCGCCCAGGCATTGCCACCTGTAGCCCATAATACTGTATGTTTCCGCCGCTTTTGCGTCACCGCGTGACGTCGTCGTTGTCGTCCCGAGTATAATAGAAATATCGGTTAGCCCCCCCCCACATTCCAGGCGTTGCCACGTGAAGAATGGAGCCGAATTTTCAATCGCTTCGTTCATTCTTCCGGTTCATGCTGGTCCAACACAAAGTCGTTATTGTTTCGCCGTGGGCTCGGGTCCATTGTGGTGCCGCCGAGGAGGATGATGAGGATGGCGAAGGGGAAGGGAGGAGGAGGAGAGGATGAGACGGAGAGGAGGAGGAGGAATATATGTAGCAGGGGGAAGATATGTAGGAGGAGGAAGAGGAGGAGGAGGAGGAAAAGGAAAAGGAGGAGGAGGAGGAGGAACAAAGGAGGGGGCGGAGGAGGAAACCTCTCGTTGGCATCTTGTGTTGCTCTTGGGCCAAACAGGGGCGTCGTCAAAATGTTTCTTTGGGAGGCCTTTGGGGGTCTTTTGAGAAACCGTTCGGGGGCGCCTGGGAGGCATTTTTGAAGCCTTCTGGGGCCTCTTTTGGGCCTCCTGGGGGTCTCCTGGGGCCTCTTGGGGCCTCTTGGCGGCATCTTGGGCCCTCTTGGGGGCCTCTCGGGGCCTCCTGGGGCCGTCTTGGGGCGGAGAGGCTCGAGTTTTCGGTTCGTGGTCCCCCTCCTTGGGCCCCTCTTGGGGCTGCCTTGGGGCTCTCTTGGACCGTATTGGGCGCGTCTTGGGCCGTCTCGGGGCCCTCGTGGGCCCTCTTGGGGCCCTCTTTGAAGCCTCTTGGCCCGTCTTGGGGCGCTCTTGGGGGCCTCTCGGGTCGTCTTGGAGCATCGGAAAGCCGAAAAGGCGACAAGGCCCAAATCTTTCCAACACTTTTCTAAAATTGATGAGTTTGGCCTCTCGGGCCCCTCTTGTGAGGTCTCTTGGCGGCCACTTGGAGGCCTCTTGGGCCGTCTTCGGGTCATCTTCGGAGTCTTGGAGCGCTCTTTGGGCGTCTCGGGGGCCTCGTGGGCAGTCTTGGGGGCCTCTTGGGGCCCTCTTGGCGCGCTCTGGGGGCCTGGGAGGCTGCGCCCAGGAGGAAACCATCTCTGAGTCGGACCGCCCGGGACCTTGCCGGGGTACTGTTCGTCTGGGGATCCCCAGGGGCCGCTCCGCGCGCGCGAAGTAGAACTATTGTTAACCAGTCGCCGGAGATCTTAGCACGCCTCTGGCCCGTCGGGCTGGCGAATTGCGCATTTCGGCACCCCTGCGTTTCTACTACGTGAGGGTGGAGTCGACCCGCATTTGGTCCACCTCCCCTGCGAGGCCACGTGACGAGTAGAGCGGACTGGTGTTGTTCCCGCCATTCGACGGGTGGAGTACAATTGTCTTTCTCCCCGCTATGTTCTGGGAGTGTCTGGCCAGACGGCATTTCTATCAAATGGCGGAGAGCAGGGAGGGGTAGGAGGGGCGACGTCGAAAGAGGAGGGATGAGGCAGGTCGGAGCCCCCTCGATTCCCCGCCATGCTTCGCGAGTGTCTGGCCAGACGGCGTTTCCTTAACATGGCAGGGAGCAAAGAAAGGTAGGAAGGGTGACGTCGAAGGAAGAGGGGCGAGGGAGGTCGGAGCCTCCTCGCGTCCTGGGAGTGCCTGCCCAGACGCCATTTCCTGAAGATGGCAGGGACGAAGGATGGGGCAGGATGGGGGAGGGACGAGGGAGGTCGGAGCCTTCTCTCGCTTCGTCCTGGGAGTGTTGAGCCAGAGGCCAGAGGGCGATCCAGGACGCGACAGGGTGGAGGGGATGGGAACCAGGATGAAGTGGAGGGAGAAGGGATGAGGGAGGTCGGAGGTGCTCTTCCACTCCACGCACGGTCTGAGAGTGTCTGGCCAGAAAGGTTCCCGTGTCGGGATGGTGTCGTTCAGAGAGGGGAGGGGAGAGAACAGAGGTGATGCTGGTTTCCGAGCTGCAGATTTCCGGTGCACGGCGCCCCTTTTCCTGGGTGCGGGCTGGCGTATCTAGGGCACGGCGCGCCGTTTCAGGGGTAATACAGAACGGCGTGTCTGAGTTTCTTTGTTCCGGTGTACGGTTCTTGTTCCCGGGATTCGGACACCGACCGCTTCGAATTGCGAAACATAAACACACAATGTTACAACTAAGGAAACACCTGCTTGAACTTGAACGTCAAGCGTTTAAGTCGAGCAGGGTTTGTTGTCAGAGGCGTGTTGGGAGAAGATGACCATTTCTGGGGCCACCCAAGGAGCAGAGATTCCCGCCCTTGGGCCGCAGGACTAGATCTAGCGGTGGGGTCGAGGTCCCCGCCCTGACCTGGTCTGGTCTAGATGGCCGTGGGATCCGTAGGCTCAGATCTGGACACGCGGGTCCTGCCACGGGTCCAGATCCAGACCTGCGGAGGTCCCGCACCCGCCGGGTCAAGATCTAGAACCGCTTGCGCAGGCCACGTCCCCGCGCAGGTCTGGCGCAGCTGCTCATGGCCCCCGCAGGTTTAGATTCAGAAGACCTTCCATGCGAGGGGTCCGCACAGGTCTAGATCTAGACATGTGGGTTCCAGGCTCCCTCCCTGCGCTGGTTCAGTCTCCCGCGCCAGCCTGGCCTCACTGGCCCGAGACAGGAGTAGCGGGACCAAAAAACAGCAGACTCATAAACTTCGGGAGGTTCGCGCGGATTTCATCTCTTGCATCGGCGCTAGGCCCTCCTCCGGGGCGCACGGAGCCCGCCAGGGGCGGCGCCAGAGGCGCCGCCATGGGGGGCTTCAGCGCCGACCCAGGATATCCGCGCGGAGTTCCGACAAAGGAGGGGTGGTCGCTGTTCCACCAGGCCACCGTGCGCATGTGGCGCTCGCGCACTTGCCCGGGCTGGTCTCGCGCCCAATGTTTGGATGTTGCGGCGGTGAAGGGAGTAGACAGCTTGTCAGAAGCAGTAGCGCTTCACACGGAGAGAATGAGGAGGAGGAGGAGGACGAGGAGGAGGAAGATGAGGAGAAGGAGGAGGAGGCTCACGCCAGCCACCACTGACAGCCGCCCGTCCCCTCCCTTACCTGGTCCATGGTGTCGAGTCCGCCGTTCGGTCGTTTTTGTTTGTTCGTTTCACCTCTTGTTTTTTTTCGCCCCTCTCCCCGGCGCTTCCTGGTGGGAGGGGTTCGAGGGCCACAGTTCTTCGGATAATTGAAAGTTCACAGATCGAAGCTCGAAGGAGGAGGATAAGGAGGAAGAGGCGTGAGAGATGGGGGAGCATCAGGCAGGCGTAGGATGCGGAGAAATCGCACCATATCACATTCAAAAGCCACCACGAGGGCGCGAAGCTATCCGTGGCTCGCGATTCACGATTCCCGACATCCTCCTCGTCCTCGTCCGTCTCCTTCCACCGGGGGGCCGCACCAGAGCGCGAAATGATTCGCCCTTCGCGCAGCGCGAAGCGCGACCGTAGCCGCCCTTGCAGATCAGTTGCGCACAGGAGTGACTCCAGGCACAAGTGACCGTTGAAGCGCGGTGTGCCGTTCGCTGCGTGCGGTGCGACAGTAGCGGCTTGGCGCGCGTGCAGTGGCG